TTTTATTAAGTTGCAGTACAGAATGTTGCACACTACATCAATGTTACAGTGAGAATACTGCATGCTGCAAAGTAATTAACCAAACATATTGTGCATATTTTAAAGTAGCAACGGTCTTATCATGCTTAACCTATATCGGGCACAACTTGGACCAAATCAATTAAAAAAATGACACCACCTGAATCAAAATACTGCAATTTTAAAATAATTTACTTGGACATGTTCTTAAAAACATCTCAGTTGTAACAACTTCAAAATGGCCTAAAATTTCCCTGTTTGTAGAATGGAGCTTTTTGCTTACAGTAGCTCTGTACTAGGATTTTCCCCCGACACTCACCAGGGAACTAGCAGCCACAATATTATCCTCTGACCACAAATTGACAGACCCCTCTGATGGAAAGGTTCCCCCCGCAAATTAAGTCCTAGCTAGAGCCTCCACTGTGTTGAGGCACAGATCCTAAACTAAACCTGTAAAAACAGCAATGACCTATCAATAAGAGGAATAAATAATTAGATCAATTAGTGTCCTGCTGCACTTTTGTCCACTGCACTTGTCCACTCTCCTATAATTATTAGTGATTCATTAGTGGCCTTGACTGCTTAACAGTTCATTCACCTTGAACAGAAAACAGTGCAAGTATGCTTTCAATTCTCCAAAGTATTTTTTTAATGTCATTCGATACTCTATACTATTGAGTCTTTCCAAATATTTAGTGGGGAAGCTTGAAGCATCGGACCATTCTTCCCCCAAAGGTTATCAATCCACCCCCCTCCCCCTTAAAGCCAAACTCAAGACTGATTTTTTCCCTATAATCTACTTATTGCAACATGGTAGGCCTAGTTGTATTAGAAAACCCTGACCATCTCGCATGGTGATGTAGCAGAGGTGTTTTTGCAATGTTGGCTAATCAATAAATATTGATGTTCTGTAAAATTGTTTCTGGCTAAATGGTTAGTGACTGCCAATTTGCTCATCAGAAGAAGAGGACACACAAAGAAATTTGTATTATGTTCTTTTAAGCATGAATAGACTCAATATTAACTATAGTGCTGTAGCAAAGTTATAAATAAATCAATTTATTTACTGTGCAATGTGGTGACTACATTAAACATGTTTATATTACAGTATACAACAACGCAATCTGTCAAAAAGCTTGTATTGACAAAATTGCCAAATTTGTATTCCTTTTGCTGCCTTTATGTACTGTACAATGTTAAGTGCTTAAAATACTGAAGATTAATGTAGCATGCTACTGTTGCCTCATGAAGATAAATCTACTCAAAATAGAGCATGACCTTTATGGCAGACTCAATGTATTCAAATGTAGTATTACTAGGCCTAGCTACAAGCTAAAAATTGCACACAGCTGTAACTTAAAAAAAAAAACAAAAAAAAACACCACTTTATTATTACTCCCATAGCTACTGTACAGTATACAGACCTACTTCCATAACACTGTACTACAAAACACAATTTCTTTTTCCATCAATCCTCTTTTTACAGTTAATTTATTGATTTATTTTTTAATTTTTTCATTGTCTCACACACAAATTCCTCCCACTTTATTTTCATAAACAAATATTTGATTGTATTAGAAAAGCTAGACTGATCATTATTTTAACAAACCAATAATAATTAAGTTTTTCCCTCACATATAATTAAATATTTCTGTAATCATCACGAGTAGTGAAAAATATCACATGAAAACAATTTAGAAAAAAGTCACAGAGGTAGAATGAGCAGTTTCGATCCTAGTATAAACATACTGAAAATGGTATCATTATCTATTAGGGAATAACAGCATCCTATATACAGGCTATATACACATAGGAAAGGAAATAAGGGAAACAATAGGGAAATGCCTACTTCTGGTACTACTACAGTATATCCAGAACAAAGAAGCAATACAAAGAAATCACAAAAAAGGCATTCTTCTAATTAATCAAATTAATGATAGACAAAATAATTTTGGATAAGAAAAAATACAGCAATGTCTATTTCTTCAAAAAATCAAAAGCAACCAAAAGTAATTGTACTAAATCTAAAAATGTAATTATGAAAGTAAAATAAATACGGTAACTATAAAAGGAAGCCAAGAGGTCAAAGGTTAAATTTGGCTCACAATGACCGGTGAATAATGCATTTGGCTTTAGCAGTATTCACAATAGAAAATTGATAATATAAAAAATGTTGATACTAGAAAAGAATTGAGATTGAGTTTCTATTGTTCAAAATAAGACGGTTCTTTGTCTTGGTTGGCTTTTATACAGGCTGTATACCAGTATCAATAACAGGCACACACATCTTTCCAAGATTAGTTTTAAATTTAATATGAAATGAAAGTACTGTAATTATTATTTAATAATTACATCTGTTATTGTTATTGTTTGATTTTATATTGATAAAATTGAGGAATAAAGAAAGAATTGATTGATTATTTGATGAATGATTAATGTGTCAGTTTTGAAGTTTTCATGTCAAGTATTTTTCCAATGACGGCAAATGGGCGCAAAGTCCATATCGCATCCTTTAACAAACAACGAATACAGACCTTAATTGAATGCTGCCCTCATTAATGCAATTGCGGTTGTCGTTATTTGAGATTATAAAAATAAAAATACCACATAAATCTATGGCCTGTAATTATACTTTCTATAATCAAACACTGGTTTGTGATGTACAAAATTAGTAGGATACTACATTGGTATACGGTGTGTTGCAGCGGTATTTGGTGGCATGCACCTTGTAGTGACAGCCGGATATTAATGGTGTGAAGGCCATTCTACAAACTTTAGTTATTGCCTTTCAAATTTATGGTTGGGCTCAAATTTCTGTAAAAAATAATACCAGTTACTTTTTTCTCACAATTAAATCAAGTCCTGTTGGAAGACAAATCAAAATATGGACAAACAAATAAAGGACGACCTTGGAAAATATTGCTGATATAAAAATTCAAGCACCCGACACACATCTAGTCCAAAATCGAGATCACTAGCATATAAAATGCATGATCAATGTGTAATGACTATGTACGAGAGTGCTGATGACAATCAGCACAGTCCATAGTTACATAGTGAGGCACTACTAAAAGTTGAGGATGAAATACATTTTACTTGACCTGTAGGCGTACGTAAATGTACTGAGCACTTACATTACAGGGCTGTATGTCGAAAATACTGTATAGTACAATACTTTTAATTGTTTTATGGACTACATGTGACATATGGTTGGGTATCAGTTCAATAAAATACAATTTAATAACTACCCTCTTGTGAAACTAGTTTTACCCTTCCATATTGTACTGTGAAATAGTGTATTGTGAAGAGCTGTAGGCCATTATGACCCTGTACACTGTAGCCGATACCAGCAACATATTTATTTTTGCAACAAAGCTAAAACAGAATCATAGATAGTAAAATTTCACTATAGAGAAACACACTGACTATACAGTTTAATAAAAGCAGAATAACTCTGGAAATAAATACAGAAAACTAAAATCAGATTAAAAAAACACATGTTTGGCGCTTGAACATAATTCATACCACAGTGAAATAACATGATCTGTTTATTGACGTAATAATCACAACTTCCAAGAGAATTGTAAAGCTTGTCCCAGTTTCGGAATGGAAAAAAATGCATTCTGTAACAAAAATGGCGAATATGGCTTTAATACAGTGTGCCAACACTCAAAATCCATTATTGATGAACCAGTACAGCTACAAAAGTATCTGTTTATTGCCAATTTATCTACTCAAATAACTAAAAAAAATAATGTTTTTAACCACAAAGTAGATTTCAAGACAAAAGGCTTGGTTTCCTGTTGAATGCTGACGTCATTCAGTCTTTTTAGGATCAGATTGCAACAGGTTGTCTGATTTATACTATTCACCACAAAAGAATCTAACCTAAAGTTCATATCAACAGGGAGTAGAATAGGCCTACTATACTAGGTAGTTTTTGCCGCACACAACTTTAGGCCCCATAAAAAAAATCATTAGTTTTCACCCTATCAAAGAATAAAAACTGATGAGGGAGGGAGATAATTTTTTTTTTTTTTTTTTTTTTTTTTGCTAATCCCGCCCCCATTTTACCAATGATCACAAGTAAATCAATGGTTAGAGACACATACTGTATATATAAAGTCATAAGAATGGAATCAAATTTATATTTAAAAAATATGTTTTTGTTGTACCAGTAAGCATATTTGCAAGAAACCCTGAGCTTTTCAAGTGAAAAAAGATGGAAAAATGACCGTTTGAAATAAAAATGTAAGTTGATTGAAAAAAAAAAAACAAAAAAAAAAAAACATATTTTTTCCAAAAGTGATGAGGGAGCAGGTGACAAACTAATAATTTTTTTTATGGGGCCTTATCCTTAACGTTAAAGGATGACGTCATAATTTATTAATCTTGCGTTGTGGAGTACGTTAATTTCAGGATTTTATGTGCTCAACATACGTTAGTTACGTGTTTGCGCATGCATATTTTCATGTTTACAAAAGGGACAGGGCTATCGTGTTGCATGTTGGGTACTAACGTTTAGTTAAGGTTAACGTCGTGCGGCGAAGAGCTGCAATGATTTCCTTCAATTTCTGTTGAGTCAAATTTGTTTTTCAAACAAGATTAGGATAAAAATTGTTTCACACAGTAGTAAAGTTACAGATAGACTCTGTTTACCACTGTATTTTGCTATTCTCAAGGTTTTTTCTAAAAGAATGTTTTTTTTTTTAGCTCATAAAATTAAAATCAAAGTGGTAAAACACATCCACAGAAAAACTGGTTTGATTTAATATTGTATTGCATAATATAAATAAAACCATGCTTTCCTACATACTGTACTATATCATAGTATTACCAGGCTTTCTTTTGGCATAGCTGCATCCAAAATGTCCGGTCATTACTGACCATTGACCAAAATAATAAACTGCAATCAAGGACACAGTACCATCACAATCTACAATGAACTACAAATGAACTCTGATAAAAATTAAATAACTTACGTTTACATTTCAAACTCTGTGCATAAAATCCCCAAATAAAGGCACCGCATTTATCACACCATGTTGGGTTTGTCATTAAACGAATAGGGACAAAATCATGCCCACTGTCCATTTCCTTACTGACACCGTTTTTCTTCTTGTGTTTTGGTTTGGATTTATCTGAATCCGATTTTAGCATTAACTTCTGCCGCCATCCAAAAAATAATCCCATACTGCCGAGAAGCCCTCCATTGCCAGAGGCAGCATCTAAGATCTCATCATCGTTAGGGTGCGAGATACCGTTCTCGCGCTCAAGAGTCCGCATCTCTATATATTCAGTCATTTTAGTCCAAATATCGTGTAGGGTACTCATTGCTGCAGTTGTGATGAAAATACGAAGGGGTGTGACAATCCAAAAAACTTGACAGATATCCACAAACTAGCACCTAAAATGTAATGGAAAATAAAGTCAATTAAAATAAAAAAGAACAGGGTCAATTTCATATTTCAAAATTTAATATTGACTCATAATAATAACGATCAAATATTGAACTTTTACTGAAAAGGATGAGAATTTAATCTACACAGGGATAGCGGTCTACAGTCTCCCACAAGCTTCAGGAGTCTCCCAAAAATCGGTCTAGGCTTCCGCAATCCCGCAAGCAAGCACCAAGTCTCCTGCAAATTGATGATGTTTGCATATATTTATTAACTGTATTATTGCCATCTGGCCATGGATATCATCTTGAGTATCAAAATACAAGGTGTGTTAAGAAATCTCTTGGGAGTTACTTCTCCCAAATTGGGACCCCTGCAGGGGCGGATCGAGAATTTTTCAAATGGGGGGAAGGGGGATGGGAGGTTGAACAACATATTCAGTATAGATAAGTGAGAGCGCTAATTTCAGTGTATGCCTTGAAAGTTTAAAAATTTAGTAGCCCCCTACTGGATCTTTCCCTGCCCTGCTAAAGAAAGGTAAAGTACCCCTTTATGCAGTTATCTTTCAAATAAACACAGCTCTATATGAGAGTGATTTGAAAAAGAACTGGCTGATTCGGAGCAGATGGCACCTCATTATAAACTACTGTTCAGTCTGTTCAAGTGGTATGTATTTAGTACAGTTTCTGTTTGAATGTCTCTCTCAATTTCTCTCATGCTTTTAGAATGTGCATTATCAATTATTAATGTAAAATGCAAAGACCAATATTATAATAGTCATTTGAAAAAAGTTCTACCAAATAAATGTCATAACCGTAAGATGAAGGAAAGTAACAAATTATGCCCATTCACCCATTGCAATACAACTAGTCCTATACTTTATAATATTTCTCATAGGTTTATCAAGAACATGTAAACATAGAAATGCATGAAAAGATTCTTATGGGAACATCCAAAAACGTATTAAATAGCATGGATTCCAGACGTGAGAAACGTTTTTTTTTAATTCACCGATAATTTATAAATTTTATATTTTAGGTTATTTTCCAAATTGTTAGTAGCCTATAATGGGACAAGTGATCTGTCAATATCATATTGGTTTATAAAATGACCAACACTGGCAATGTGGAAAAATAAACAGATTATATAATTGGTTAAGGCAAGCTTGATAAAGTAAGCAACATTGTAAGCAATGGTAGGATATGGCATAGGGTACCATCAGTGGTTATATACATGCAATATTGGTATGCAATATTTTTGGTCACAACACTTCTCAAAGCATTATTGAAACAATCAAAATTAATCAACTATACTTACCCATGATTCTCATCAGAGTAAAACTATGAGTCGGTTGGAAATTGAAATAGAAACAACCATAAATCAAAATTTAATAGCATAAAGAATTATGCTACATGTAAACGTTTTCAATCTACTTCAGTGCAATGACGTGAAAAATTTTAACAATCTATCTCAACAATGGCTTTGGCCCACTCTATGAAAAGCATACCTATTTTGTGTCTGGAATACAAGGATAATACTCTTGTTAGGCTTTCCTTTTTCTGTGTGCATTGAATTGAAAAGGAAAACTTCCAACCCTGCCATAATCTACTGAATGTCACCTGATAAGAGTTCATAGTTTAAAATTTCACACAATGAAATCCATGAAAAAATAAAAAAGTGATGATTTAAAAAGTGCATACACTTTTTAAACTAATCTAAAACATACATTTTTCTACGTCCAATTTTATGTACAAGAAATTTACCCATGCATAAGGTTAGGGTAAAATTTGAATAAGCAGTTGGCTCTAAGCATCAGAATTAACTCATCATCACAAAGACTAACTTTTTAAGTACACAGACCCCCTCCCCACTTCCTCATCTCCTTGAATATGATCTGCATATCCAGTTAAACATACTGTACAGTATATCAGAGATCACATATGCTACCTAATTGTAGCCATACAGTAACTCTGTTTAACACCACCTTATTGGATCAAGAGAGGTTTTTTCTGTGATAAATACTAATAAACCAAAATACAGCATAGATGAACCTGGAAGACCTGGGATAAAGCCATTTGTAGAGACCTTGCTACTGAAAACTCACTGTCCACTTTAGTACAGGAAAGAAATGAATGGAAATACTGTATGCCATCAAGTACTGTAATTATACCAAACTTGTTAGCATGGAAAGTAGACGTTAAAATGTACAATGATAAGTTTGATGATCATGATGACACATAAAAACATCTATTTCAAAAAGTGAAGTACCGTACTCGCGCAAATAAGTGTCCGGACGCTTAAAATATTTTTTGCACTTTCTAAGGGGTGCTTATTCAAACGGGGCGCTTATGAAAACAGAGTGGAAATTGAGGGGGCGCTTATGGAAATACATGAAAATCGAGGGGTTCTTATGGGAACTTACTTAGTTCAAGAGGCACTTTTTGAATGAAAAAAGATTATATAAGGACGAATGGTGGTTAGGCGGAAAAGATAATCGTCCAGAGAACATGGCTCATGACAAGAATGCTGTGAATATTTACATAACAGCAAAATAGCAGATGCAATTAGTGGTGGTGTTTGTTGGCCATCAGCTGAAATATCCTCATTTTGATATTGACCTAAGAAGAATGTGATTCCAATCTGCAGCTCAAATCATGCCAAAACCACAGTCCCAGAATTGAATGGATTATTGACTTGCTAAAAAGAAAATCTTATGATTATTGAGGGGGCGCTTATTCAAATTAGAAGGGGCACTTATTCAAATGGGGCGCTTAAGGAAATTTTCACGTTAGGAGGGGGGCGGTTATTCGAGAGGGCACTTATTCAAACAGGGCGCTTATTCGCGCAAGCACAGTATTGTCCATTCAATTCAAATAAATAGGCCACTACTTATTCTGTGTTTATCTATCCTATGTTTTGTTTAGAAGCAGTTTTTCAATATTTGATTTTCAGATTGATTTTTCATTGACAAATTTATGAAATCTGCTTTTAACCCGAAACAGACAGATGTTGCTGTAAGGCGACTGCTACTGTTAATGCAATTCAAATCTACGACTAAGTTGTTATTGAATCAATTTTGCTATTTTACTGTCTGCGAACATTTGCAAAACGTACTGTAAAACCAAAGTCCCAAGTGTAAATCTATGTATGATGGTAGTTAAGCACAGTAGTGCTAAACATTATGTGTATTTGTTACTTGATTAGGTCCACAAAGTATGTACAGTATTTACGATAATTTTCACACTCGCACAGTATGTGAACTATAACCTGTTACCTCTTCAACAAAACATAAAAATATGGTACTTATGTATCATAATATATACATAATGCTGTAAAATACATGGACAAGAGAGGAAGTGAACTGGTCAGTACAATGGTAGACTATCCCCTGTGCCTTCCAAGAAGTGTTAAATGTACAATACAATTACCAACCTAACAGAAGCCTTTACTTTAATATTGTGTACTGACAGGCCCTCTGAGAATCATAGTGTATTTTAAATTTTATAATTTTAACCGGTGTATTTAATGAAAACAATAAAGTATTTATTAATTTTACTGTTATTATAGGTTTAATTATAATTATTTTTGGTTCAATCATATATAAAAATTTACTGTAACAATACAGTACAGTATATTCACTGACTCAGAATTTATTCTTGTGCCAATCAAAAAACATAACAAAATACAATCACTACAATATACAGTAGACAGGTCTGGTTCTTGCTTTAAACTTATACCCAGCTTTCATTTAAACTTCAAATATTTTTATGGCTGTGTTTTATTATGCTTTTTTTTAAATGTTGCTTACTGGGAGGCAACAGCAAAAGATGGAATAATATTGTAACAACAAATTTAAGCAGGGCTTCCTGTGCTGTGTCCATTTCATACCATGGAAATAACGTTCATGATCATAAATTAATGCTGTTTGACCTGCAAGTCTGAATTTGTGCAAATCATGAAAGTATAACTTTGAAAGGACTAATGAATATACAGTACTGTATTACCCAAAAATAAACTATTAATAAGGCAAATTAAAACAAAAAAATTAATTTCTCATCCCCTTGCGCATCCATTTTCTCTGCCTCACCAATTGTTTTTTTTTTAGTCTTTATTTTACGAAATGTACAAAAAACTCACATCAGTAATATTCCTCTCTAGATCATTGATGATATGTTATGAATCATGTCTAATGCTTCTTTTATTTGCTTTCAATGTGTCTACTTGGTAAAAGTGAGAAACTAGTAGCTGTTTCCCATCAACCACTTTGGATCTGTCATCTTGGAGTAAAAAAAATGCCCTCATTCTCCTTTTATCAAAACAATAGGACGAGAAACTATTTTTTTTTAATTGGCCTAAAAACATGGTAATCCAAGCAAAACTAATCCAGCCTGTAAACAATTCTTTTTTAGTCTCCTAAAGGATTTGGTGTTTAGTGATCCTTGGTTTGTCACTGGACTGAAGAAAAAGATTAGACTCTTTTTTTTTTTATAGTAGAAATCTGTCCAGCACCATTACAGTATGTATTCAATCAGAGAGGTGATGTTTTACTATTTTATAGTCTACAAACTATAACAACATTTCTTTCAATGTTCATTATAAATGAATTACCGTACTCTCCTTTGTTATAAATGTGGAAGAGTTCCCTGAGCAGGAAAGTTTAATGTAAACAGCATGACTAAGTTAAATCTTGGCTCAGCATACATGCTGTACCAGTACATGTACTGGTAGGCCCACTATACATACTGCATCATTGAACTTTACACAGAAGTATATCTGCAATTAAACTGACCAGAAAATAAGAAAATAAGTAAAAAGCAAAGCTAGTCTGTTTCCTTGTACTTCATATTGTTAGTTCAGGATATATTACAATCACACCTCATAGTAGTATCACTGTGCATGTACAATATCTTTGTAGTTGCCATGTGGGCTATAAAACTGCCGTAATCTAAACTAGTTAGGCCCAGATTCATATAGCTTAGGATAGTCCCTAAGCCTTTAATATGTCACTTTCTGGCCAATATCCTGCGCGGAAGAGTAGATTTTCTCGCTTTCTGGTCGAAACGGTAATAAACCAAAACGGCAAAAAACCAAAACGGCAAGACTTTTTGACCAGAACGGCAATGGACCAAAACGGTAATAAGTAAAAATGACAAGACCAAAACGGCAATACGCTAAAGTCAAAACGGCAACCAATTATACACATTTTTAAAATTATTTAAATGTTTACTGCTTTTATATTGTGATTCCCACAATCTTTTTACTATTGAATTTGTACTGTATGTTATACTACTATTATTTTTATTATTATTACTATTATTATTATTATAATTATTATTAATGATGTTGTTCTTCTTTCGCGTTTTTTACTTCTATGACAATTTAGCCTCATTTTCACCGTATTTATCATTGCACACTTTCACGTTTATAATTGGTTTTATGTAGTGCCACATTGGAATTAAGTTTCATAAAAACTTTCATAGACCATCCTTTCATCGTCTTTTTTTAATTTATTGTAATGTATTTTTGTCCTGCCTTGTGCGAATTTTCTCTGTTTTGTACAATGTTTTGATGATGAGAAATAAACTGAACTGATGATATACCAAAATAACACTGAATCAGAATGGTCTGTTAATTTTATTTGACTTATTGCCATTTTGACTTATTGCCGTTTTGGTCCATTGCTGTTCTGGACTAAAAGTGTTACCATTTTGGTTTTTTGCCGTTTTGACTTATTGCCATTTTGGTTCTTTGCCGTTTGGACCTGTTAGTTACCCCTAGTACTATAGTATGCACGAAGGAAGGTATAAAAAATTGATAAGAACGGGACAATGCAAGTAGAAAAATGTATTTCATGAAAAAGGTTATCATCATCTACCTATCTAGAAGCCTTGTGCTCCTAATCCTATGCTAGGCCTAGCAAGTAGGACCTAGCTAGGCCAACTGATGAGGAGGTATTGACTGAGTACTGTAGGCCTAGATGACAACCGTCCTACCTACCAACCACCATATTTACATCGAAATTTTTTTATTGTAAACATCAACAAAACCACGAAAAGTAAAGCATCTAAAGTGTCTTAATTAATTCTATATTATTAAAACGTTCATAATATTATCTTACCAAAAAAGAAAGGATTTATGCGTAAGCACAGCGAACACCTATAGCACGTGTATTTCGTCTAGGAAATCACTTTGTTTGGATGAAACACGACGGAAATTTCGTTCGTTATTATCATAAGATTTCAGCTATCACTCGTTCTCAGCAGCTCCTCTCCGGCCCATGAACCGGAAGTGTCTCTGGAAAAACAGTCTTCGGTTTTTTGCAAATAAAAATAGATGGCGCTCGTCTGGTTTAGTGGGGGTGCCCCATAATCATGGTGAGTAAATGTTCACCAACAATCAATTGATGCTGAACTTTCGTACGTTCGACGCGCGTGTTTGCCGGCGAATGTGTAAATAGTTAGAATATACTTTTGTTTTATTTATATAAATAGTATACACATACCTTATCAGTAATGTCGGTAAGTATTATGAACATATGCTTTGTATCTGTATAACTTCTGTATGCCAATTATTTGATGAACGCAGCAGTAATTTGTTTTTCAAATCCTAGGGAGCTAGGCCTAGCTAGGCTAGGCTAGGCCTCTGCCAGTGCCAGCTGCCTTCTTTTTCTGCAGTGCTGGGCTACCTAGCCTAACTAGGCTAGTCCTAACTAAGCCAATGCCGCTGCGTTGGTGACAAATGCAATGCCTGCTGGTGGAACGTCAGCTGTAGGATGGCTAGCCTGCTGTTATTACTCTACAGACTAGAACGCATTAGCGTACGTTTCATAGCCAGTTTTGTTGCTTTTGACAACCTAACTAGGGCCTAGGCCTAGATCTCTAATTTTATTTCTAAAGTACTGTAGGCTAGGGCCTAGGACCTAACCACATTCAGTCACGCATTGTTGTGAAGTACTCATGAAAATATAAGTAGGCCTAGGCCTAATAAAACAAACAATTTAGAAGGTCGCCAATCCATGCTTACTTTATTTGGTTATAATTGAAGCTTTATGCATAATCAATACAGCACATAATTTTCAGCACTTCAAGTAAAAATATTTGTTTAATTTTATATAGCAATTGCCTATGAACCCCAAACCATTCCTGAATGGATTAACAGGAAAACCAGTGATGGTGAAACTGAAATGGGGCATGGAATACAAAGGCTACCTGGTGTCTGTTGATGGATACATGAATCTACAGGTAAAAAATATGCTTGTGTTTAGGCTGTCCTTCCCCTCCTCATCCTCCTCTTTCTCCCTGTCCGAGGTTGCCATTCTGTGAGTCTTTGTCCATACTGTTATCTTGGATATACAGTTGAACTTGCCTAAGTCGAAACCAAAATGCCATTGAAATATTGTCCGACTTAGATAAAATATGACGTACAGATTGTTAAATAATGGAAAACACAACAATTTGGCATGTAGAATAAGATTGACTTAGCAATTATTTGACTTAGGCACAGTCAACTTAGACAAGTTTAACTGTACAGTTGAACTTGCCTAAGTTAAATCCAAAATGCCATTGACTTAGATAAAACTTGACTTACAGTTCATTAATTAATGGAAAAGACAACAACAGTAAAATAAGATCAACTTAGAAATTATTTGAGGTACAGTAGACAAAGTCAACTTAGGCAAGTTTTAACTGTAAAACTGTATAATTTCTACAAATATCAATAATATTAAAATCAATATATTTAGGAGAATAAATAAAACTCTTTAACAATACTGTGTGAAATTTTTTATTTTTGGTTTTTTCTCTTCTTCCAATGAAAAAAACTTTCATAATTTACTACAGTTCAGTAATCTTTAAATTGATTTCCCAGTAAATTTGATATTGTAGACATGCAACAAGTATAGAATGAAGAAAAATAATAATAATAATAGTTCATTCTTATATAGTGCAAGTAAGCAAGCTCTCAATGCACTGTACTGTACATAAAAAACAAAATAAGGATGTCATGTTAAAATGAAAAACTTGATGGAAAAGAAAGGTCTTTAGCTTGGTTTTAAAAGAGTTTAAAGTAACACACTGATGGAGATTATTATGAACGAATGGTATCACTTATTTATGTGTTTGTTAATTGGGGAGGTAAATGTTTTTCTTTGAAATCAATACTGCAACTCACAGGTCTGTAAGAAATTTGATATTGATTTTTTTAACGTTGAGTCTATTTATTACCCCAACGCAGACAGAAAAACTTAAAATTATTTCATTTAAAAAAAAAACTAAATTGTTGTCAACTAAAACTGTACTGTGTCATCATGATCTTAACCGTTTCTGTTATTCATTTCAAAATAAAGTTGGCAAATACTGAAGAATATGTAGATGGCGCACACACAGGAAACTTAGGAGAAGTACTTATAAGGTATTTGTATTATTTGTATTATATTTGTTAAAAATTTTAACAATTAAATGCGGCTTGCCATCCTAAAACCAGCTTCAGTGACCAAATAATTGAAAATTGAATTTTTAATATATTCTTACTCTCTACATTGTAAACTTTAAAGTGATAAGTCATTTACTGGAATTGATTTATTATATCTATAGTTATAATAATAATGACAATAATAATAGTTCATTCTTATATAGCACAAGTAAGCAAGCTCTCAATGCGCGCTGTACATAAAAAACAGAATAAGGATGTCATATTAAATTAATGGAAAACTTGATGAAAAAGAAAGTTCTTTAGCTTGGATTTGAACGAGTTGAAAGTAACACTGTCTGAAAGGGATTGGTATGGAGTTGCACAAAGTTGGAGCTGCAACAGCAAAAGCACTCCCACCATATGTAGATGTTCTGGACTTATTATTAATTATTATATATTCTTATTATATTATTAATATATTATTATTATTATTATTATAATAATTATTATAATAATTATTAATATCATTATTATTATTTTTGTTCTTTGTTATGTTATGAGTAAAAGTATTATGGCTTATCTGTATAATACAATATTGCCACATTCAATCTTATGCTAATTACTTGGTTGAAAAATTATAGACAGTACACTGGCTGTAGAATGGCAAGCCTCAAATAGTTCCACATTAGCACAGTTCTTATAGACATGTTTAATAATGCTTTTGGTGTACTGTGTATTCACATGGTTTGCATATTTCCATTTCCATATGTGGAAATTGAAATAAAATACTTTTACATCGGGGTCCCACTGCCACATGACTATTACTTAGTGCAATTATTTTCTATGATACGCAGTTTAGGAAATTGATAGTGGTATGGAAAAGTTACGGAAATATTTGTTAACCAAGTTGTATAAACCCTGCCTGTGGGACACCCATATTCAGGGGACACTCCTGCAGGGGCCGCAAACTGGTCAACCCCTATTAGGGATGGGAAACTTTCAAGGTGTACCAAATGGTCTATTATTCAAATCACATTTAATCTATGTTAAGTGGGACACTTAGTACAGTTTAATACTGTGTTCTGCTATTGTAGTAGTCAAAACATTCTGAAATCGCAATCAGCAGTCATTAATTTTAATCCACTGTCTTCAGTTTGTTTGTAGATGTCTGTTTCGTAAATAGGGGTATCCATATTCAGGAGACTTCCCTTTAAAGAAACACTTTTTTAGTCCTGAAACATTTAATCTGTTTTTGTATACATGTAATGTGTGTACACACATAACAGTACTCTTCTACAGCAATCTGTCCACTCCCAGCACCGGTATAAATTGCCCAATTTATTGTATTTATTTATTATATCCGCAGGTGTAATAATGTTTTATATATTCGAGGAGTGGAAGAAGAGGAAGAAGATGGAGAGATGAGGGAGTAAGACAGAATATTTCAAGAATGGATTTAGTTTGATCTCATTTCTAGTAGACATTGGGACAGGAGCTGTATGTGATCGACTGTCAAATGCCTTTCAACAAGTGAAAAATCATTAGAAGCATTCCCCAAATTAATAGTAAACATTCAGAATGAAACAAAGGATGTTTCAATATTGGACCAGCCTTCCCACAATAAAAGTTTTATTTGGGATGTTACGAAAATGCTTCGTCTGGAATCAACCGGTTATGTCTGGTTGTTTTATAAATAAAATATGAGGGAACAGTCAGATGGGAACATCAACAATGACAACGTAGTAATGTTTTTGTGTACATTTTAATTTTACCATTATTGCAAATGGAGCAATAGGTACCTTGCTAATTCGAGAGCGTCGCTTATTACCATCTATTCCACAAAAGCCTATCTGACTTGGTGCAATGCTAGTATTTTAATCCGTATTATTTTGGGTAGTGACCCGATGATACAAAACATAGCATGTTGGTGATGTTCGATTAAGCACCACAACCATTTCGAAAATATATATTTCAAATGTGTATTTGTTGAGAGATCTGTTTAGCGAACAGGTTTGGTACGGTCCTTATTATACCAGAAGCAGCCCCACAGTACTTGGCATTCCATTCATGATTTTAAGGTGGTAATAGATACACATGAATTCTTGCACCTTTCTTCTTCCCCACCCTCATTTAAATGAGGGTTTTGAAAGTTTCACTTTAAAAATGCATTTAAATCATTTTGGATTTTCCAAGAAAAGGTGTAATCATGATTCTTAGTATTTTTATTTTTGGACAATGTAAAAGTACTTGTAAATTGTTCAATGTATTTGATAGTTTTGTACATGGGTGTAACAAATTAAAAGCAGTTCATTTGCTAAAAAAGAGGGATTGCATTCTATTGCTTTAATTTACAGACTAAAACAAATTAGCAGTGTCAGATCTATGGGTGACAAAAGGGGATCTCCCCACCCCACCTGGCAGCAGTCAAAGATTCTCTGTCTGTGAAGTAATTTAGATAAAGGGGGCCCAATAGGTAAAAAACCCTAATCCCTCTTACATTGGCCCATAGGTCCTTGATTGTCACTTGCACACCCCCTGCAAGAAAATCCTAGATCTGCCAGTGTTTAGCTTCTCCAAATTAAACTACTGTATTTACCCTTATGTAAGTTTTTTTAATCTTAGCATAAGGGTAAATACATTTAAAATAAGCATTCAGAGTGCAGTATATAAAAATATTGACACATTCCCCGACTGGGAGATCATTCAAAAGTTTTATTACATGAACCACAGTACTGATAGGAATGGAAGTTCTATGTTTATTTTTTAGTACACCCTGCCTTCAATAGTTTACAAGTGAAAACTCAAATATTCTATTCTGGCAAGAAGTCAGCTACAGAAAATCTTTCATCTGAATTACAAATTGTATTCTCTATATTTATGATCTCTTAATACATGATTATATAGCATACATTACAATGAACAATACAGAGGCAGATTGCTAAAGACAGATTGTCTTACTGCTTTACATTCATGGTATACTGATTCAAACACTATTCAATACTAATAAAATAATAAGCCCACCCAGCATTAACACTAAAATTGGGATTTTTTTTAGGGGGAGGGGAGTGGCTTACACCTCTGTTCATTGAAAAAACTTAACTTGACAGTAACCAATCAAAATGTCAAATATACACTGCATGCCCAAGTCATAGTCAATTTTTTTTAGAGTGCTGAGCTCATTTAAATCATACTCTTATAAGATGATAAATTCATAAATATACCAGTATTAACAAAACACATACAGTTAAAATATTAACACAAGAAAATAAATATTTGTTCCAAAAAAACAGGAAAATTGGAAGCTTTAAAACTAAGTTTTATAATAGTTTTTTAAAGAATCTTCAAATTTGCAGGAATGGAGACCACAAGATTTAAAGGTCAACACCTCAACAGTAAACGCTGCAACTCCACCTCATATAGAAACAATACAGTATTAACAAAACACATACAGTTAAAATATTAACACAAGAAAATAAATATTTGTTCCAAAAAAACAGGAAAATTGGAAGCTTTAAAACTAAGTTTTATAATAGTTTTTTTAAAGAATCTTCAAATTTGCAGGAATGGAGACCACAAGATTTAAAGGTCAACACCTCAACAGTAAACGCTGCAACTCCACCTCATATAGAAACAATACAGTATTAACAAAACACATACAGTTAAAATATTAACACAAGAAAATAAATATTTGTTCCAAAAAAACAGGAAAATTGGAAGCTTTAAAACTAAGTTTTATAATAGTTTTTTAAAGAATCTTCAAATTTGCAGGAATGGAGACCACAAGATTTAAAGGTCAACACCTCAACAGTTAACGCTGCAACTCCACCTCATATAGAAACAATACACCGAGATAAAATTATTTTTCAAGTTAGCACATGTCTGTATTCAATTAAATACTGCTTTGCATATTCATCGACCAGATCACTTGTCTTCTAAATTGTCCAGCATGTTACCTCTATCAAGTACGTGTCATCTTTCACATCATCTTTTGTTTGAATCACGTTGGTGGACGACGTCACCTTGTTTGATGACGTATTCTATCAACTTCTCGTGGTTACCCATCTGATAAATCAAATGTTCCCATCTGTTAAAGTGAAAAAAAAATGTAAGAGGTGCCATAGCCATTAAATATTCTCAGCAACAAGCCTTAATGAGGCTGAAATGGTCATGGCCCATCCATCTCTAAAGGCTCCTCGCTAGGCCATGGAATCAAGATAAAGACAAAGGGTGGTAATTTTGATATGCCACATTGGCCTAAACAGTGGCATACCTAGCACCCCCATTTGCCCCACCCCAACCCCAGGGAAAATGTTCGATAAAAATCACCTCATATCACCTTACTTTCTTGTGATAGCGTCCCCTCACTTATTTATCAAGCCCACCCACTTCACCTTCAATGCCCCATCATCCCCCTCCTATATCAAGACTTCTAGATACGCCACTGGGCCTGAAATGGACTTCAATACAGTGCCACATTATACAGAAATAAGAAAAGATTCTTCAATGGATACACAAATAGTGTCAGTTTGTGAACATGCAGTACAATAAAATAAAGACAAAGTTACCTTGGTGCATCAAGAATTAAAACGTCGCCGACTTTCCCAACTTCAATAGAACCATGTGTTGAAGACTTGCGAAGGGAAGCTGCTGCATTAATGGTTGCTGCCACTAGTGCCTCCTGCATTGACATCCGTAAGTTGACGCAAGCTAAATGCATCACAAGTGGCTAAAACAATAGTGCAAAAACATTTAGTTACAATATGTATACAGTTAAACTTGCCTAAGTTGACTGTGCCTAAGTTGAATAGTTTCTAAGTCAATATTATTTTACATGCCACATTGTTGTGTTTTCCATTAATTAACAATCTGTAAGTTGAATTTTATCTAAGTCGAACAATATTTCAGTGGCATTTTGGATTCGACTTAGGCAAGTTCAACTGTATAAAGATTATGGGTTTCTTATTGTTGAAAAGAGAAATTCAACTCTAAAATTAAGTTTTTTGTCCATGAATGAATATAAACTCGATAGATAAGACAGTATGAACAATACAGAAATTAACCTTACCATTGACATACAGAAAGCATTTGGGTTGAAATCACTACCCAGAGCTACTGCAACCCCTTCCTCTATCATTTTTCTGACAGGGGGATGTTTTAGCCTCAAGATGTAGGCTGTAGTTGGTAAGATGACGGCAATGCTTCCCGACTCTGCCATCGCTTTTATCCCAGCATCACTTATCTCCTCAAGATGACTGACAGCTTCCGCTTTCAATTCACCGCCCAACTACAAAGAAGCATTCGAAAAATATTAATTTACTTTATTATTTTTATAGAACATTCATAAAAACACTTGTTATTTAGTAAACAGAGGTCTGATGATTCTGATTCTGATGATTATGAGAAGGAAGACAGTAATATTGTTTAAGTCGAAAATATCAATTATTCTGAGAAATTCTTTTTTTAATCATAAGGAAAATGATTGCCAATGTTCTATGTTTTTTTATTGCAGGTATCGCAATCTACTTTTTTGAACAATGGGAAAGAAGGTGGTGATGGTGATAACTTTAAAAGAAATCTGTTAACATTACAACAGTTAAATTCCAGAAAATATTACTATAAACATTTTTAAATATCATGTTACCTCAGCAGCTTCCATAGGGTGAAGTTCATCACCATGGAAATTGAGGGCCAGACCAGCCTGCCTCCCAGCGGTGAGAATTCTTCTTGTTTGTTCTTTGTTAAAAACACCCTGCTCACAAAAGACATCTATATTGTCAACCTCTAGTTGTCCATCTTTTATCAGTTTCACTATTTTTGGTAGTTGGTTCTGAATTACATCTATAGTTGCTGCTCCAGATGTGTGACCCCTGTAGACCAGGGATATTGAAATTTTCAGATTCAAATAGTGAAGAAACAATAATAAATAAATATTTCAATTTCTAATTTAAAAAAAAACCCAAATACTAACTGTATGTTACAAGTTGCTTCTATGCGGTCTGATTAGCCACGAGTAGGATAAACCAACTAATTAACTGTAGTGGTGCTCTTTACAACAAATAAATAACAATAAAATTAACGATAACAAAACAATAACAAACAACATCAGCAGCAACACCAGCAACATCAACAACAGCATTAACAAAAATAATGATAGATAAAAAATACAATTAAATATTATAAAATTATATTAAATATTAATATTAAATATAATGTTTTGCATTGCTGAAATTCTCAAAGACAGGTATAAACATTACCACTCCAATTTTTAGGAATTTATCCTCTTTCCTAGGAAAATCATACAAAGATATAGGAGTAACTGTATAAATTATGCTCCTCAAATACATATAAGAACAAATTTATACTCCTAAGTCTTTAGATGACAAAATGCTACCCACATTGGTACTGCGTGTGCTCCGCAGTATGTACTCGACACATCAATGGCTAGCTCCCTCTTTGCTTTCTGAATTACTTTCAACATCTTGATTTCAGTCTCCGCATCCAGGCCGTAGCCACTCTTGCACTCCACAAGAGTTGTGCCACACCGGAGCATCCCTTCCAGGCGTTGTTTGAAAGTTGCGTAAAGTTCATTCTCTGTAGCCTGGCGAGTGTGTTCTACGGTAAAATTGATGCCCCCACCGGCTTTGTGAACTTCCATATAGGATGCACCAGCAAGCTTTTAAACAAAACAATTTTTATAAATTATCAACTGAATGAATAATGAATTCTTATCTATAACAGATTGTATATATTTGTTTGGAGAAACTATTTCTACTCCATGGGAAAAAATCAGGATGAGACAGTAAGTTTCTTACCTTTAAAGAAAATTCATGGACTCTATCACCTGCCCACACAGGATGGGTGTGGCCATCAATCAAACCTTAATAATAATAATAATTTTATTGTTTCTCTTTTGTAACAGAGGCACAATCGTTTAAGAGATGTGCAACAAGAATTCACAATACTAGAGTAACATAACATATGTACATTTGTCTTCCTATAAGACATTCCTTACTTAACTAATATACACTGTGTAATTAATACATTATCAGTATTTTGTTACATTATTTTTTACTTAACTAATAATGAAAAGAAAGTATAATGCACATTTTAAGAAATGAAACACATATCACCGCACCCGACTCAACCAACACCGATTATGTCATCGTTAGGAATTCCTAACGATGACGTGATCAGTGCTGAAACCCCGAACCCAACATGACGGCGCGCAATCTACCGGAGAATGCATTACACTTTCTTATCTGAAAATAATGAAAAGAAACGAAAATGAAATAAAAAGAATTTCTTTTTCTTTTTAAGATAAATATATTTTAATAAAATGTACTTTTACCATCAGGATTCCAACTCAATTGTCTTCAACTACAGATTTCCCTCTAAAACTAAGCTAAAAGGCCTCCCCTAAAGGTCAGGGTGGCTATAAATAGACTATATTTTTCCATTAAGACACCTTCTCATCAAGGCAATTGAATATACAGTTAAACTTGCCCAAGTCAAATTATTTCTAAGTAAATCTTATTTTACATGCCATATGTTGTGTTTTCCATTAATTACCGAGTCAAATTTTATCTAAATCGAACTGTTTTTCAATGCCATTTTGGATTCGACTTAGGCAAGTTCAACTGCAATACAGTATGCAAAGAGTTAATAAATCACAAGTTACTTTTTTTAACAATAATGGTTTTGATTTCACATTTTTCATCATGTATCTCTATCTAAATAAAATGCAAGAGAAAATCGATAATAATTGTGGTTGTACTATACCTGGCACAACACACTTTCCAGTAGCGTCAATTATCTTGCTGAACCGGATTCCCTTTGACAGTGCAGCTGTACTACCAATCCCCTTTATCAAACCATCACTAAAAAAGTTACAAATTTTTGTTAACATTTTGCTCGAAAAGATACCAAGTCTTATCTCTGAATGTACAACCTTCTACCAACCATATTTCATGTAACAGTAATTTTTTGTTTATACTCACCATCATAATGTAGTCTAGGACTATATATAGATATATATATATATATATAGGTTTATATAAGTCTAGCAATTTATCTAGTTTTTATAGTATTATGTACCAGTACATATTAGATAACTGTGTAGCACAGTTAATGATGAGTTTAATAAATCCTAACATTGACCACAAACACAGCATTGGTCATGCCAGTACCTTATGTCCCTTGTATACCTTATTCCAAGTATATTATTTAGTCACTATTACCAGTTACTATCATCATACCATAGGAATGTCTATAGCCCTATTCTTTTACCTATATCCCCTAATAATTAACATAATACTTGAGTTCTAGCATTCAGCTAAGTAACATCTCATCAGCAATATCTGGTATTCTGTATCTGTGAACATATACTCGAATTGAAGCTCTGTGCTTCTTTTTTAGCAAACTTTGGGTGGGATTCTTTTCGAGACTTCTTTTCGAGGCTGCTTTTGCAAAGTAAAAGAGGGGGGCTTCTTTTCAAAATGAATGCTGTAGCCTAGCCAAAAAAATACTTCACATTACGTTCTTCATATTTTGTGATTATTTACCTACTAGCGGAACAGCACCCATACACTAAAACTGTATTATTAATGCCTTTCATTTTATTTCAATTAGTTTTGCATTGGCTTGCGTATGCCTTGACTGTTAAATTATGTATTTTGTTTTTAATTTCAAAGGGTACTTATTTAGTTAGGCCTACAACTTGGTTAGATTAGGCATAGGCCTAATTCTATTCACCCATCACTGCTATATATTCTAGCCTACTACTACTAACTAGGCTACTAGGAATAGGTAGGGCCTTAAGTCGAACTCTTCTTATAATATCCTAGCTAGGGGGCCTAGTACTAAGTAGGTCTAGGCTATTAGCCTAGTAGTAGTAGGCTATGAAATTCATTTTATTTAATTATTTATTCGACTTCACACATTCAAATATACAATAAAATAACATTAACAATGAGGAAAAAGTTTACGGGAATTTCTTGCTTTATTAACCCTAGGCATGCCTAACCTGTTCGGCGGTGTTGGTTAGGCCATATATAGGCTTATTTAGGCCAAGAAGCATCTGTATGATGTAGGCTATGTACTACTAGCCTACTAGGTGATGATGATAGGGTCTTGCTTACCTCCCTATAACCAGGCTAACACCATTGTTCCCGCCGTCTTGATTTAAAATAACCGGGTTTTTCATAGCCTCGCCACATAAAACTCTTTCTCCATTACTACAAACTGCAACTATTTGTCTCGCATTTCTAATCAGTAACTTTTCTGTCCTCATTTCAACCTTCGGTTCACCACGTCCACTCATCATGCATCATTTTCATCTTCATAAATCAATCAGATGTTCAGTCAATCATCCCGGGCCGACACATGGGGCGTTGACGTAAGTTGACGCGAATTAGCATAAGTTAACGCGATTTAGAATTAGTTGACGCGAGTTAACATAAGTTGACGGTAATTAGCATAAATGTTGACGCGAATTATTATAATTGACGCTTTTTCTTGGTGATTGCTGCCCTCTATACTACTTCAGGATCAACTTTAATTTTCACGGTTTTTGAAACATGAAATATCTTTGAGTCCTACGTTGAGTAAAATGTTGTTGAGCAGGATGATGATCAATTCAAGCATTACCCCTTAGAATCAAATGGGTTTCCATAAAAGGTTTTCGGCGTATTAATAAACGTTGATATATTTTGCATTTTTGATATTTTGTTGGAGATTGGTTCTGTGCTTAGCAGCTCGAAATGACACTATTTTATAATAATAATAATAATAATAATAATAATAATAATAATAATAATAATAATAATAATAATAATAATAATAATAATAATAATGAAACAGCATTTATAGTGCGCCGTCTATCTAGCGAACTATTCTGAGGCGCAGTGACTATTGACGAAAAGAAAAAGGATTTACTAATTATTATAGATATTCTTCAAATAATAGCAGTATACCGGTATGTTTTTATTAGCGTTTTTTCTCTACAATGCCAATGCCGGTCTTGAAATATGGTGACGTAATGCCATTTATCGTACCTTTAGCAAATGGAAGTAGAAATACGGTACTGTGTCTCTAGTCACTGCGTTGCCTTTTTTTTTATTCAACAAAATGATTAACATTGCATAGGCCCTATGCATATTCTGGCAATTAGGCTAAATACAATAGACCAACGTTGCAAGCCTATCTATATGTCATTTCATTATATAATTTTAATTATAATTCAAGCTAAATTGAAAACTCTTTCATGTAAGGGATACATTTTGCCAACGCAACTGATTCGATTTTCTGATCGGATCGGATGCCTTCCGATCCGAAATTTCCGATTCAAGATTCGTTTGTGCATAAAAAATACAAATGTATATAAAAATGCAAATGTTTTGTTTTAATATAGGCCTACACATTGCCAAATACAATATAAAATATATTAAAATATTAAGTACCGTAAAACACGAAATATATGCAATACAGTAAAATATTCAGAGTTAAAAAGCATTAAGAATCATAGTTACAATAGAAATCCTTAAAAAAGTAAAAAAAAACAATCGGAAAAAATTATTCCCGGCAATAAAATCAGAAAAATATTAAAACTGAGTAAAATATACAGTATAAAATTTTCAATATTTATCTATAGGCTTTGCTGTTAAAAATTCTAATTTTTTATTTATTTATTTTTTAAAATTTATTTATCAAAAAAAACCTTCAAACAAGGAGAAGATAAAACATGCAAAACACATTAAAAACTGTCTCTTATACACATCTAGATGTGTATAAGAGACAGGAATAGATCAGTTGCCTGACGATCGCAATAGCGTGAAACTCCGAGTAGCAACATTCTGTTCCAGCGACCTCCAGTTCTATATATATATATATATATATATATATGAACCAATAGAAGTTCGATATCGTTGAAACTCTGGTATTGATTGGTTGTAGAAGGAATCCGGACTGCAGATAATGATATTGTCAAACAGTGGGTCATGATTCTTGTCTAACATTACTTTTTTGACAAAGGCTAGAATATTATCATTACACTCAGCATCAAAGATCATATCTATATTCATTATTTTACAAGGGAACAAGCCACTTTAGTAACCTTTTTAACTGTGAGGGTGCTGCTCCAACCAACACATTTGGTGTGAATGCTGCTAGTCTTATCTTACCAACAATAGCGTTATCTAGGAGTCTTGAAATTGGATTTGGGGGTGGTGTTAATGGAGGGACGCGATTGTGAA